AGCTAAAATTAACTAGAACAGAAATATTTGCCTTCAGTATGTGGACTTGAATTATGTTTCTACCTATACAATATACAAATACAAAGCTACGTTAAGTTAAAATTAGGTAAGATTTTGTGTTATTTTAGGTTAGGAAGCTGTTAAATGTAAATACACTTGTTGAATCTAATGCTTTTGCTATTTCTCCCATCTTCTCAATTACACCTCTGTTGCGATGATGCTTGTGTTTTGTTTGCCAAATCGGTGGTCTGGCAAATACTTCTGTTATGAGCAGTTCTACGTCCATGTTGCCGCGTTCAATCGCTTCCACAAAACAAACTAGACTGTTCCAGAGTTACCCGCACCGCTCCGCCTTACGTAGGCGTCAAAGTCCACGCCGGTGGTGCTTGTCCCCAGCCGAACCCAGTCTTCGGCTTCCGTGACGTCATCCTCACCACTTCTGTCCACCTCTGTCACGTCTGGCCCTTCTCGATTATTCACATAGCTACACTTCACAAAACAGTTCTGGATTGTGGACTGGGTAGGGTTCCCAGATACCCCATTTTCCCCGGATTCTTCCGTTTTTTCACCCAAATTTTGTTCCTCCGTTTATTATTTACCCGGAGTGGATAATTTACGTTTTTTTTATTTAAGTCCATTGCGAATTATATTTCATGGGTTAAATATCATAAAATTTATGTAATCCTTGGAAAATGACATTGTTATAGTTTCTTTCGTTATGTTGGATTTCGTGAATGTTGGCAACACTTGAGGTTCTAAACCAAAGCAGGGGTTGTTGGTATGCCTGATGCTCGGGCCTGCTGGTACCAGGCAAAGAGGACATTTTCCAGCTTGCTGTAGGTAGACTCCTTGCCCATATTCCTCTTCTTGGCTGACGTACCACACTTATCAGCCAGCTCTCTGATCTGCCTTATCTTTGCGATAATCGAATTTAGGGTTGATGGTGGCAGGCCTAGTCGCTTGGCTATGTCAGTCCTCTTCTCTGATGGGGTTTTTTCCACCTCCTCTATAATGCGCAGTCGTTCTTCTAAAGTCCGAACTTTTTTCGCAGGAAACGCCATGTGGGAGAAAATTGTTGATGACGCTAACAATAATACGAAGCACGTCGAGGATCGAACACGTGATGGACTGTATACTCAACCAAGCGAAATCGCGAACTTTCACACTAACATATCACGCTCGTTGTTTTGCAGGTAACACGCGCTCAAGGCCACATACCACACATGTTGACGGTACTGCAACTTGCTACGCCACGTTTCAAAAACATCAACCGCTTTTACTACTACCAATGCTTACTAACATTTGTGTGGTGTTGCACTTTCTTAAAAACGATCAATGAGGGATTAACATTCATGGGGACCAAGAATTCCCACCAGTAGATGCGAGAAAACGATAAATCGAAGAACGATCCATGCGGGTTTTATTTCCATAGATTAAATATAATTTGTTCAGGGACCACAGAAATTGAACGATGGATCCGGGAACGATAATAGATCGAGGTTTCACTGTATTTCCCTCAGTATCACTTGGGACTACTGTATCCTTTAAGAAAAGTAGATTGATAAAATACTGCCATTTTCCAGGATATGTTGCAGCACAGTGCAGGCGGAGTGCACACTGGCGCGTTACGATACGATGCTAGCTAAGGCGCACATTGAGCTGCCTGGCGCAATAGGGGAAGGGCAGGGCAGCACGGAAAAAATAACTGTGTGGCACAGTTGTCGACGTATTTTGGAAAGCAGTTTTGTTCAGCAGTTTGACGAAGGCAGGGGTAGTTTGTGCGTGTAACCAAATCGAAACTCAAAAACATGTTTGCGGAATACCTTGATTTGAGCTCTGAGTCTGATTCGGACAGCGAGTTAGAAACATTACTATTACTCTATCGGAAGTCGAGGAAGGTAAAGCTGTGGAACGGTGAGTACATGAAAAAAAGAGGAACTCAACGGGGATTTTGCACTGACAAGAGAATTCTCCAATGAACGATTTGTGAACTATTTCCGTGTGAATCGAGAGGAGTTCATAGCATGATTCAACCTATTATTTACTCCGAGGGATGCAATGCTCAAACTCCAATTGGAACTGAAGAAAAACTGGCAGTATTTTTGAGGTAAGTTTTTTATTTTATGTTTTTTTAAGAACTCTTAATATACATTACAATGTAATAAGAATCTGATAATATACATGGCAAAAACGCATAGAAATTTTTATTCTGAGAAATGGTTAATGAAAGAGAGTACGTTGGAAGATTCTAAGTTTTCACGAGAAGCCACCGTCTCTCCACAGAAATAGGAAGGAGGTTGCCCTGAAGAGCTTGTTGAAGCAGGAGAGCTTACATGTGTAAGTTGTCAACTTTTTTCACCTTCTTTGATTGTGGCGTTGGTGATACAGGAGATTCAGCAGACTCGTTTGCAGATGAATTACGTGATTCATCCTCTTCAACGTCGGCAGTGTTTGGTAAGTCCGAACCTTCATCATTTATCTCGTAAATAGGAGCACCTTCACAATTGTTGTGCCGCAGGGGGTCGTGGCCGCTGTCCCTTCCGGACTCCTTTCTCTCTCGCTCGACTCTCGAGCGGATTGGGCCTCCTCCGGGCCGTCCCGATCCCGGTGCCAAAGCTCGTAACAGTGGTAGCATTGCAGAACCAAGGGGTGGACCTCACCTGATGGGACCCTTGGTTTCACCCCTGCTCCGGGACCTAACCCCTTAGGACATTCCCTACTCCTAGCTCCTGGGGCTGGGCGCGATTCCCTTGAAGAACCAGTTCCCCTAGGACGTCGATGATCTTCCCCGAACCACCAGCCGGAAAAGTCGAGGTCAGGGTCCTGGCGACAGTCACGCGCATAATGTCCAATCTTCCTACATCGAAAACACCTACCAGCCTTCTTCTGCTTGGGTAGTCCGCGACTCCTTCTTCGCCCTTGGGGAGAATCGCTACCTCTAACGTAATCTCGCTGCTCCTCTGCTACCTTAAGGGTTTCCAACTCCGCTCTTAATGCCTCCACCTGAGCCTGAAGGGCTTCCAGTCCTCTCTGAGCCATCGTCAATGCTCGACTAAACAATAACCGTTGTGACCACGCCCTTTCCCAACTTAAATTTGTTATCCACAAGTTTCTCCTTAATACACTAACGTCCCTGGGTGGCGAGAGTCACCTACATGCACTCTTCTCACCTGTCGGCGTAAGTCCCGCAATTCGAGCAGAATTACAGTTTATCCCGCAGCTGCCACCAGTTTTGTTGTGCCGCAGGGGGTCGTGGCCTACTCCCCCCTTGGGGCACCAGTAGGTATCTCTCTCCAACCCCGGGACTCACAAGGGAAGGTAGTACAGGTTTTACATACATGCAATTTTACAATACATCCCTAAAGCAAAAATGTGTATATATTCTAAATGTGTTGATTACAACAAAAGCAAGTAAAATGGATGCCTTGTGGCTCCCGTTCTTGTAGCGTGTCCTATCCCCTTCCTCGTCCTCCTGTGCACAAGCAAAAGTAACAATATCTAAAGCGAAATAAGTCTAGTGATTACATAGTTCAATGAAGGTCCTATAGTCTGGAATACATCGAGCGATCCGGAGTGGTGATAGCCTCCGTCCTTCTAGTCTCACTTCACCTACAACATGTAGCTTACATTGTCCCTGCTGGCCTTCTCCTTAATTCTCTCTACTTCCAACTGATGCTCCCTAACTTAGCCTACCCTATTACAAGATAACAACTTCAAGACGAGTGACCTGTCACTTCTCTCTAGTGACCCGTCACGTCGTCGGGTGACCGACCATTGGCAAGTACTCACGTGCCCCCTTTCGTGGGTAACAACTAGATCCCATCTCTCGCCGGTTCCTGGGTCAGAGATGCCCCTCGCGATTCCGCGACGTCGTGCCCCTCGGGCTCGAAAAGCGTACTCTCTGGCGTCTGGCGACAATCGTCCAGTCTTAGCGCTCCCCGCCCCTGGTCCCAGGGTTCTTATACCATCTGGATCCGTGGGCGTGCTTCCGTCCTCATGGACGCATTGGGAATCGGCGATTCCCATTGGCTACATTCCCTATGGTTCTTAAAACTTGCCTATATTTGGTCTTTCCTGACTGCCTCATACTTTGTCCCACATGATGGGAAGTGGCTGACTAACGGAAATGAATAATCATGATTAACAGGATACATGAGCCAGCTTGATTTCCGTAGTTCGTTTCATCATTCTAACTCACCCATAAATTCATATCTACTAAACCTTAATATTATAATTTAAACATCAAAATCAAGTTTCCAAAATCCTGGGCACAACACAATGTTGGGCTTCAGGGTCTACGTGTTGATCTTCATTAGGAGGTTCTGAACTGTCATCATCGTCGGCGAAATTTGTATCACGGTTTTCATTGACCATGTAACGTGATAAAAATTCCATTTGAGCTTGGAACTGCCACGGTTTGATATCTGCAGCAGCAACTCCACTTCTTCTCATACGTCGCTGTTGTCGTAGAGCATCTCCGTGATTATTTCTTAATTTCAGTACATTTAGCCTCGTCATCTGAAAAAGAGAAAACGATATATTTCATATGAAGAAAGTCGTCTTCTGGCATCTGGCGCCGTGTATTCTTGGTTTTAACCGACGTTTCGGAGGAACGTATCGCCTCCATCTTCAGGGCAGGTGAATCGCGATGCGAATACGGAGAGCAGTAGATGCAATGATTCGGGTCAAGTCAAGTCAAGTCAAGTTTCAGTTACAACTGACGGTCAGTCAGTCTGTATGTCTTGGTGTCGAGCCCCAGCTGGGGCTCATGACCAGATATTTCTTTTTTGAATGAAAGTTACTGTCCTGTCCATTGGGGGGCGCCCTCTCTGACGAGAGGTCGGGTCTGTCATTTGTTAGTCAGTCTGCAGTTAACAGTCCATTGTCTGTATTTACACATATACAATTTGATATATATATATATATTTTTTTTTTTTATAACAATATGTACAAGGCCTCTGTCAGTCCAGGCTCAGTACAGCAGATTATGCCCCATTACTAGTATTCGCCACTACGGCAGTTTAGTCACTTGAACGGTCGTATGCCTGACCGCCGCCAAGTTTAAGCCTCTTATACTTTCTATGTCGGGCTTCGCCTTGACCAATATTACGAACATTCTCATTATCATGATTTTGTATGACTTCTGCTTGTTGCCTGCATAATTTTGTTATAAAGTCATATACGTATGGGATTTTGAATGCCATGTGCAGTTCGCGGATCGGTGTGCGCCTTGGAAAATTGCCAATGGTGCGGAGAACCTTGTTTTGCAGGCGCTGCAATTTCACTAGATGGGTGTCTGCCGCAAACTCCCAGGCGGGACTAGCATAAGTCATTACGGATCTAATGAGAGCTTTGTGGAGGGTCAGTTTAATGTTAGCGCTCAGTCGCTCAGTTTTGAATAGGGAATATACTCTGATGAATGTTCTGAAGGCCTTGGCTTCGATCATTTCTATGTGTAATCTCCATGTCACTCTTTTATCGAAGATTACACCTAGATATTTTGCGCTATTTACAAATGGAATATTTCTTCCATTTAGAGTAAGACAAGACTCAGGCGGTCGACGACTACGAGAGAAGTAGATCCCCTGAGTCTTGTCCTCATTAATTTTTATATTCCAGCGCTCACACCAGGTCTCCATTGAGTTGAGACCGCGCTGGAGTTTTCTAACAATAAAACCCTCTTTGCGATCTGTCGCATATAGACAGGTGTCATCCGCAAAGAGGGCCAGGTGAACTCCTTGAGTTTGGGGGGCATCATTTATGTACAAATTAAAAAGAGTAGGGGAAAGGACAGAACCTTGTGGCACCCCTGCTTGCATTTCCCTTGGCGTTGACATTTCGCCTTCTACCGAGACCCTGAATTTACGATTAGAAAGGAAAGACCCAATAAGTTTGGTTAAGTTGTGTGAAAATTCCAATTTTGATAACTTATACAGCAAGCCTGAGTGCCATGTGGTATCAAAGGCTTTTTCGATGTCCAAGAACACTGCAGCCGTAGACATTTTATTGTTGAAGTTAAGGGTCACGTGGTCCGCCAGCCTCATACATTGCAGAGTCGTGCTGTGACGTGCACGAAAACCAAACTGGCTTGCGTTGAGCAGGCCTCTGTCCTCAATGTGTTTCTTGAGGAATTTCAAAATTACTTTTTCGAATAGTTTTCCTGTCGTGGACAGGAGGCTGATTGGACGTAAATTTTGAGGAAATTTCGGGTCTTTACCGGGTTTTGGTAAAGCTATTATTTTTGCTTCCTTCCAAGTATTTGGAAAATGCGAGAGCCGAAAGCAATGATTGAATAAATGCGTTAGGTGAACCAATGGTCGTCTTGGAAGGTGCCTGAGGCATTCATTTGGGATGCCGTCAATTCCACAGGCCTTTTTTAATTTCAGGGATTTTATTAATTTCTGAACGTCACATGGTCTGATCTTTTGAGGGGGGCTGTCGTCAACGGTGTCTAGCAGAGCTTGAGCTCTAGCCTCCACCCGCCGTTCATGGTTTTCGCTGCACAGGTCATGTGGCGTGAACTGAATTTCTAAATAGTTAGCAATTTCGTTGGCTTTTTCTGAAGGATGAAATTTAAGACCAGAAGAACCATGAATAGCAGTTGGTGCCCTTGGTCCGTCTCTCTGAAGGAGGGACTTCGCAATGGGCCATATAGCCTGAGGTGTGACTTCAGCGTTACCTAATTTTGTTTCCCACCGTTCAAGTGCCTTTTTTCGGGTCATTCGCCTGATTGCTTTGGTGACCCAATTGACTGCCGTTTTACATGCTGGATCCCTGGTTTCTTGCCATAATTTTCTTTGCCTCTGCTTATACTTTATCAAACGATCTAGGCCAGGTAGATCGTTGTTTATGTCCGAAAGTGTAACTTTACTTGTCGACAACCTATATGCCGAAGCAATAGAGGCTGCAAATTCGCGTGCCGCTTTATCGGCTTCTACCCCAGACTTAATTTCTAGTTGAGGTGATATTAACTCAGAGGCGAGACTTTGAAACCGCTCCCAATCTGTAATTTTCTCAATAGGTTCCGAAAGATTCCTAATCTTAACGTGATCCAGTATGTGGAATGCTATTGGTAGGTGATCTGAATCCAAAATATCAGAGACGATGACATCTGACACTCTGATATTTTGGTGAACCACAATGTCCAACACGTCACCATTACCCGCAGGGGAATAGTGAGTGGGGCACTGTGGCGCTGAAATTTCGAAGTCACTCCTATTAAATAAATCAATGAGTTTCAAGCCTGAGGGGTTTGAGACTCTGCTATTCCAGAATGGGTTCTTAGAATTCAGATCACCTGCCAAGATTGACTTACGTCTAAAGCTTAAGAGCTCAGTGATGTCAGCATCACTCCAGGCTCTGCCTGGAGATTTATAAACAGCTGCAAGTAGTACTTGGCTGTTACCAATTGGTATGCAGACCCCTGTCGCTTCTACTGAAACAAGGGGTGGCAGGTCTACATGGTTGTGGGGAATGCCTTTTCTAACTGCAACGGCAGTTCCGCCTTTTCTGCCCGATTGGCGGTCGGTTCTGTAAAAGTGGTAATTTGGAATAAAGAACCTCTCATGAGGTTTCAGATGTGTCTCTGAAAACAGGGCCACATCTACGTGTAAGTCTTGCAGCTGTTTACTGAGCTCATAGCGCTGCCTCCCAATGCCATTCGCATTAAATGCTATGACTTTGAGGGGCCTATGAACTCTAGTGGCCATCTTGCTTCATGAGTTTGAGTACAATTTTAGTGATGGCCAATACTTTTTCATCTTCCGTTACTGCACCACTGACCTCTGTCATAATTTGCTGCACTATAGTCACTACTCTCAACATATTGTCGAGAGATGGATTGCTGGCGTGAGGAGCCTGGATTGACTGACCTGTTTCTTTCTGCAGTGCAGGGGCCGGTGCGGTCTGCCTCCTTGTTGTGGGTGGAGCCACTGGGACCCGGCTTTCCTGGGGGCGCTGCTGCTGTTCTGCTGTAGCGCCTCTGAGTGCCGCCGCGAAGGAGACACCTGGTGTGACCGTGGTTGACGAGAACACCCTCC